AATCCCAGGCATACAAAAGAAAAAAAAAGGTAGGGATTGGTTTTAATGGATTTGGAAACCTAATCATGTGGCCTCAAAAGCCTTGGCCAGTAAAATCATAAACAACAGTAGTCGAGTAGCACTCATCACTTGATTTTTTATTGGGTTGAAGTTCTCATGATTTGCAATTCATAAAAAGAGTTAGAAAAGTGTCTTCTCCTTTTCTTATATGATCTCTCGGAGTATTCATAATGGTGAAAGGTCATTATTTTTAAGATGTCTCTATTCATAATCTGCCACTAATCAAACTTTATCATCATCATTTCAAGCTGTTTTTCTACTTTCTTGGTGGGATCTCCACTCTATTCTATTATTTGGCATCTTCATTGGAAAAGAGTCAATCATTTCCATCAGTTTAATGACCTTTTAAATCTTTTCGTTACTTTGAGTTGGACTGAATACACTTGAGTTCAATTTGTGACTTTTTAAAGTAATGCTTTTCTTCTAATGAAATGTATACTTTCAACTATTTCTATTTTTTCCTTATGCATGGTTTTCATTCATCGTATAACTAGATCTAGGAGGCCTTGGTTCTTTGAAAATAGTTTTCTTTTTATGAACTATGTTTTTTAGGAAGATCCCACGCAATTTTTTTTTTCCATAATTAGGCTTCAAAATTTCTACATCATGTGTAATTTACAATTTTGTTCCCTGCGATGCTATTCATCTATTTTTCATTTGTAGCTTCTCTAACAGTTGAAGATGACTTTTCTTACTCTCATTTTGTGGTTTTTAATGCCGCTTTGCCTCTTGACTATTCATTTTCCTCTTGAAGGGGTCCTTATATCAAGTATATTGTTAAAGTCATGGGATTATTTCTTTCTCTCTAGTTTTTGGAACATTTGACGAAAAAGTTACAACATATGCATTTCAAGTTTTTCCATTGATGATAAATCAATCTGGTTCAACATATTATCTCTAGAATACTTTTGGATGGGCCCTAGTCATGGAAAGAAGACACAATACATTTTAAAGAACAGAAAAGATTTAAATATTTTTAACAAGCTTCTAGATCTTTTCTTAGAAATTTAGTTTTGACCTTATTTTTATTTGTGTTATGTATCCTTGATTTCTTGTGAATTATTTTAGGTACGTCTTGAGCCATATGTAATGAGGTGTATGCCTCTATTGAAGGATTTAGAGGGTGTTAGGTTTTTTTATTTGATAGTTCAAAGACTACGTGACATTATGGAGGTCTCAATGTTTACTTTTAATGAAGGATTACGGACGACAAACATCTAGAAAAAAGTTGTTTGATAGTTCAAAGCCTACGTGGGAGTGAGATTTTTTAATTTGGAGTCGTATGCATAACTTAGTCATTTAAGGGTATGCGTTTTTATTTTATTTTAGTCTTATTGTTTATGTTTACTTGCCTATTTTAGATTTCCTTATTCGTGAGTGTTTCTGTAACTTTTTGTAATATTTCTTTCATACTTTTGGATTATTCTCAAATTTTATTAAGAGGAAAATGAGCTCAAAATTTTATGGTGTTATTTATTATTGAGTCCTCCGAGGATTTTTGTCAAATACTTTATTTTTCATATTTTTAATTAATTTAATGATTTAATATTGAGGTTCATGTGACGAGGACATCAGATTTCGACACGTGTACCATCGCCGGAGACGCAGATCGACGGCTACGTTCCAGAGCCTCTATTTCTGATTTATTTGTATTTTATTCATGCTTGTATTTCTTTTTTCCTAGTTTGCCCCTGTGGGAATTGAGTCACTTATGTAGCCTTGAGGGCATTTGTGTCATTTCAGTTTTTATTTTTATCTTGACCTATTTATAGGAGGCCTCATGCAATGTATGAGTTTTAGTTGTTAATGAATGAAATTTCTCTTTTGATCTCTTTGTGAGTTCATGAATTTTCCAAGGTCTCCTTGTGAGTTCTTGCGGAAGTGGCGCTTGTAGATCTCTTTGTGAGTTCTATTGAAGGTGTTGTTCGAGGTTTGTAGATCCGACAATTCTTCTTTTCCTAAAACCCAATTTCTTCCTTCTCTACCTAACCGAAACTCCCCTCCTCTCAAATTCCCTTCCACCGGCCCCCTCAGCCCACCGCCGGCCCGCCACCAGCGGCTCTGCCAGCCTCCCCGCCCGGCTGCTATCCCGCCGGCTCCAGGTGGCCGGCTCCAAGCCACCAAAAGTCTCGCCGCCCCCTTTGGATCCTCCCTCTTGTCTTAATTTCAAATCTCTTAATTTATCCACCTTCCTAATTAGTTTATATCAAATTAGGAAAGTCAATTAAGAGGAGTAAAGCCTATTTTGAAATTCAAATTTGTTTCCCTCTCATATTAAACCTATTTGGGGAAGTTACTTAAAATATAATCAAATCTGAAATTAAAATTCAGATTTAATTAGGTTTTATTTACTTAGCCTTGGGCCCCACTTTCTTAACTCCTATGCTTCTCTCCCCTCCCCATTGCCGCCCCTCTCCCCCCTTGGATTAATTTGAATTTTCAAATCAAATCCCTCCCAAACCACTAAAATCTGAAACTATTTCAGATTTTATGCAATTCCTTTTGGCCTCCCCATCCTAGCCGACCCCTCTAAACCTCCACTTCCCCTTCCCCCTTCTTTCCATTGGGACTACTTCATCTCCCGGTAAGGATGCATGGCGGATCCGGAAGTTGATCATGGCTTCGCATACACCGAACACGGGGAGATCGACATCTTCCTCTCCCCCTTCTACGAGCCGGATTGGGAGTACAACGTCACCGTAGAACGATATGTCAATCGTATCGTTTATTGCCTTGCCGGAACCATCGACCTTCAACGACCGAGAACTCCGTGGATTCTTCTTGGACGCCCACCCGCTTCCCCAACTCCCGCTTCTTCCCCGACGACTAGTCCTCTCGGCATCACTTGTGTGATGTGGCATCTCTAAGCGTGCTTGCAATCCTCCTCCGCTAGCCTCCACTTTCAAGAGTTGAGTGAAGGACCTTGAGGTGAAAGATCTAGATTTTAAATTTGAGGCTTTGTTATAATTGGCTATTTGCATTACCTAAATCTTTGGTTATTAGTTTGCAAGTTCTAGTAATCTCAAAGTGTAATCTATTGCTATTGCTTAATCTTTCATGATATCTTTTTTAAACTTCCACTTGAGTAAGCTAGATTTTATTGGTAGCACACAAGGTTTATAACTTTATTAATCTCTTAATTACAATTCTTGTCACCGCATTTAGTTTCACATCATCATGCCTCAAAATGAATTGAGGTTTGCATCTTTCTCACAAAAAGAAAATGCTTGAATGCTTTATTGTGCAATTTTAATGCAAGCATGATGACAACGAAGTTGTAAAAAATCCCGAGCATCTTTACGGTGATGAGCACCCAATGCCTGATGTCCTAAGCGCCATCCTAGGTGCTCATTTGAGTGATGTTAAGGATTGAAAGTCAATTTGCTATATTTATTAATAGATTTATTTAATTATCATGAATGTTTTATAAAAATATCAAGTAATTATTATCACAATTAATTATTTCACGAAAAAGAATGATTCTTCATGATCCATTGCATTCCAAATTTAGAAAGATCTTTCTAAGTTGTTTATGTTGTACATGGACGATTAAACTATTAAAGTTTGTAGCATAGAAAACTCGAGTTTAGTCTTATATTTGCAACTTTCTATTTTATTTGCATCATCTTTAACCTTTTATACCATTTGATTTGTAGCTTCCCTTGCATTCAGCTATTTGAAGTCATACGCTTGATTGTTATTGGCGCTGAAAACTTTTGTACTACTTTTTGGGAGACAAGACTTGATAAACATTATCCAAATATTTTCTTACTATAAAGGACCCGTTGATCTTGTTTCAGATATCACGTGTTCCCAAGCTCAAATGGTTCATAACCCTCATTGCTTTCAGTAGAGAACTCTTGATTAAAGATGTTGCAAGGCTCTAAATTAATTTTACTGTCTAGGTGATGTCATGCTTTGGTTTTTTAGCTTATAACTCTTTGTATTTTGTTTTCCCTTTTGTGAGGGTTCATATTTTAGGATGGTTTGGAATAGGGATTGAATCGATTTATGCCATTCCAAGTGGGGAGATCCAATGCGTGGTGTTGCATTTGTGTTTGGCCTTATTATATTACACTAAAACCCTTGGCGAGGGTTCTAGAACTCAATGTGCCTATTAATGTAGTTGGTGAATAGGTAATTTTGACGTTGCTGTTGAATAATCCTTGCTGTTTTCTTGAGGCAACATTTCACTTGTTATGACTATCCTGGAAGGCAAGTTGCCACCAAGGATAGTCATAACAATTTTTTGGGAGAAATCTTGCTTGATTGCAATCAACTAGAACATTCTGTATCATCTATGAAGTAACCAACTTCATTGGCTCAGTAGAACGACTGCAGTATCATCATCTTCTTATTCTTCTCCTTCGGGATAAAGATAATGATGATGAAGAAGGTGAAGGGGGAAAAGCAGTTTATTGGGCATGAATTTACTTAGCAGTCTCATCCCAGCAGTCTTTCCTTAAGAAAGCCAAGGAGACACTAACGCTGGGAACAAATATATCACAGAAAGATCTGTATGCAACGATATCATATATATGATTTTTTTAAGGCCTCTTTCATTCAGAAAGCCCTGATTTGTTTGCTTGCTTGGAAGCATCATAGTAACCTCTTGCATAACCCACTTTTTTTTTTCTCGAAAACATAGCTTTCCTTTTTTTTTTTTTAGATTTTCATATCTTTTTCAATTATTATATTTTCTTTGAAACTCTAGTTTAAGTAGATTGAATTTAAATTTCCTCTACACTCTTTTTTTTCGTTTGATGTCACTCTTTTTGCTCCAATCGTATTCTTATAGTTTTATGCACGTTTTTCTGGTTTCCTTGTATCTCATAGCACATATTGTGTAGTAGTTACACCGATCATTTGTTTCACTGGAAATCTTATATTATTTTTTGGTGTATCACAAAACATTAAATTTTAACTTCTCACTTCTTCAGGAATCTGATTGGGCCGGTTTAGTACATTTAATCAAGTTCTACAAGAGCAGAAGATATGATGCTGATATTGGACTGCCAAGGTGGCTCTTTACTTAAATGGTTATAATGCTTCGTGAATCGTGATGTCAGCTGATTTATGTAAATATGAATTTCTTATCTTATCAAATCAATGTTTTCAGGCCTAATGACTTTCATGATGTTCCAGAGTACTTTGTTCTTGAGGTAATGCTGTGAGGTAGGAAATATTAGATAAAATTTTATTGCAGTTAATATGTATACAATTATTTGCTGTTAAATTGTAAACTTACTGAAGCTTCTTTCTCATTATATTATGTTAAATCCTAGCCGTCCCTTAGCATTTTAATCCCACGGCTAGGATGAGAATCCGTTGGAGACTCACCTGTTAAATCCTAGTCGTTCCTTAGCATTTTGATCCCACAGTTAGGATGGGAATTCGTGGGAGGCTCACTTGGATCACGCTGATCTCCTTCCATATTTAGTTGGCTGATTTAGGAAGGATTATATTAGAGCAATTATGCATGATTTTGTAATTATTTATTTTTATTAAGTTATCTTGTATAGATCTATAAATAGGGATAGTTTTGTGCAATAAAAGTAAGCATTCCCTCTCCAATTTTTTGAATTTAACATGGTATCAAAGCCTTCATTGCCATTGTCAGAATTTTGAGTTTTTTGTGCTGTTGTGCCTTCATTGCTAGCATTTTCTTGTTGTTGCTATCCTATCTATAACCAATGCAACCTTCATTGCTGCCCTACTTGATATAACCTCCTTCACTATCCTTTGCTGTCGTAATGTCTGAAGCAAATTCCGGTTTGACTAAAACTCTATGGTGCACCTAGGAAGAGGAGATCATTAAAATATGCAATCTTCCTATCGCTTAAATGAGAAGAATTATTTGAAGTGGTCTCAATTTGTGATTGACCTACTTGAAGAGGAAAGGAAAGATGAATAACCACCTTGGAGTAGGGCCAAAAGAAAAAAATCATATTTTTTGGGTATGGGATGAAGCAGACTTAATGATCATGTCATCATTGTGGAATTCCATAATTCCATAAATTAATGATATTTTCATGTTCTTATCTACTACAAAAGACATATGGGATACCGCTAGGAAAACCTTCTCAAAAGTTAGAAAAAATAAGGACAAAGCTATTATGGATAACAGGAGGTTTGAGCAAGTGTATTCCTGGTGTACAAATCCAAATTATTCTCTAGAGCAGATCCAAGAATCTGAACAATCTCCTAAAATTAAGAAAAACACAAGTTCGCCAAAAAAACCTCCCTTGTACCCTATAACCAACTTTGTATCCTTACATGACTTGTCACATTCTCACAAAAATTTTCTGGTTACACTAATGAAAATTGAAAAATATGCCATGAAAGATGAAATGCAGGCCCTGGAGAAGAACAATACATGAGAGATCAGCGACCTACTAATAGGGAAAGAAACCAATCGACTATGATGGGTGTTCTTTGTGAAATACAAAGCTGATGATACATTGGAAAGGTATAAGGAAAAATTGGTAGCGAAAGGGTATACTCAGACGTACGACGTTGACTAATAGGAAACTTTTGTACTGGTGGCTAAGATGAACACCGTGAGGATCCTGCTCTCACTAGCGGCTAATTACAACTGGCATCTAGAAAAGCTAGATGTCAGAAATGCATTCCTACATTGGGACTTGGAGGAAGAAATATTTATGGAGATTTCACCAGGATTCAAGGAGAAATTTGGAGGTAACAAAGTGTGCAAAAAAGGTTCTATATGGGCTAAAGCAGTTATCTAGAGCTTGGTTTGGAAGATTCTAAAGTTATGTTACTTAATGGTTATCGACAAAGCCAAGGGGATCATACATTTTTCTTCAAGCACTTAGACTCAGGGGAAGTCACAATTCTATTAGTTTAAATGGATGATATCATCTTGATTGGGAATGATGAAAAGTAAAAGTGATTTTAAAGAAATATCTTGCAAGGAATTTGAGATCAATGATCTTGGTAGATTAAAATATTTTCTTGGAATTGAAATTGCCCACTCCAGCAAAGGAATCTTCATTTTACAACAAAAATACATTAATGATCTTCTTAAAGAAAAAGACAAACGAGCTTGTAAACCAGCACCAATACAAGTAGAACTAAATCTCAAATTGGGTGAAGCTAAAGAAGATCCAAATGTAGATAAATGATCTTACCAGAGGCTTGTGAGGAAATTAATCTACCTTTCGCACATCATACCAGATATAGCGTTTGCTATATGCATGATCAGCCAACTCATGTAAAGTCCAAAGAAGACACATGCAAGCTATAAACAAAATACTACACTACCTTAATTGGAGGATTCTCTTCTGAAGATACTGTGGAATAATCCCTGAAGCATATACTACAGATTATGCAGGATCACCAGTAGATAGACGATCTACCTCAGGATACTGCACATTTCTTGGAGGAATCCTTGTTACATGGAGGAGCAAGAAATAGAATGTGATAGCAAGCTCTAGTGAAGAAGCATAATACAGAGCTATGAATTTCATAATATATGAGCTATTATGGATCAAGATGATTTTAGAAAACCTAAGGATTAAGTGGGATGGACCCATGAACCCATGAAGCTACACTGTGACAACAAATTAACAATCAACATAGCTCATAATCTGGTTTAGCATGATAGGACCAAGCACATAGAAGTGGATAGACATTTCATAAAGTAGAAATTAGACCGTTGTCTTATATGTATCAATCATGTATCATCAAAAGAAAAGCTTGCAGATATTCTTATCAAGAGACTCGATAACTCTATCTTTCTGGGATTGATTACCAAGCTGGGAATGACATATTTGTACTCCCCAGCTTGAGGGGGAATGTTAATTCCTAGCCGTCCCCTTGGCATTTGATCCCACGGCTAGGATGAGAATCTGTGGGAGACTCACTTGTTAAATCCTAGCCGTCCCCTGGCATTTTGATCCCACGGTTAGGATGGGAATCCGTGGGAGGCTCTCCTCGATCAAGCCGATCTCCTTCCATATTTAGTTGGCTGATTTATGAAGGATTATATTAGAGCAATTATGCATGATTTTATAATTATTTATTTCTTTATTAAGTTATCTTGTATAGATATAAATAGGGATAGTTCTGTTCAATAAAGTTAAGCCTTTTCCTCTCCAATTTTTTGAATTTAACATATTAGAAGTTTATACTATTGAATTGCAGAAGATGAACATTTGGGACTGATCATATTTTCATTTCAATTCGTGACCCTTTTAGTAATTATTGCACCTTAGTCAAGTGATATGATAAGCTCATTATCTGATGTATTACTAATGTTGCATTTGTGGTTTGTGTTTTGTATGTAGTAGTGTTAGATTTGATAAGCTTACTATCTATTGGATTCCGGCCTCTTGCTCTTTGCAATTTTGATTGTCAATTAGAACAATATTTGCACTTGGATTGGGTTAATTCAATCTTATAAAGCTGCTTTTCTTTGTTTTTGTTTTTTCAAAGACCCAAGATCTTGATTGTCAAATGACACGTGTTGAGAATAGTTATAAGGTTTTTCTTTTTGCAGATGAATTTTAACTACAATCCAGATTAGCGTTTAACTATGGTTTTAGGCCCAATGATCCTTGATTGCTTCTAATGAAATTGCTTGTACAACTTCAATCTTGAAATGCATCTCGTTAAGTTTATTATGTATTTGATTATCATTCTAAAGTTTCACATTTGCCCCCAAAAAATGAAACCCACATTTTATGTCTCGATCTAGTCTGAGTACTTGGAATATCAAGTTGAGAACAAATGTGATGGGGACATCAGAGCATGGAAAGCATATCAGAGTCGCAGCTGTCGATCTACGGCCACGATCGAGTCGATGTATTCTTGAGTCATTTCATGTATTTGTTTTTATTATGTTATTTGTCTCTTGTTATTTATGTTGTTTTATTTTTCCCATTTTCACCCCTTACGGGAGGTCGTATGTAAGCCCTGAGGGCATTTTCATCTTTCTTATTTTGAGTCCTATGTACGAGGCTATTTATAGCCCCTATGTTTCTCTTTGAAAGTTAATGAATGAATGAATGATGAATTTTCTTCCCCTTGATTTCTTTGTGGGATTGTAAGAGCGTTTGAGAGAGAAATCCCTATAAGAGGGAGATCGGATCACCCACCAACCTTGGAGACGGTCGGGTTCGTGGTTCCTTATCTTTTTCTCGTTAGCCCCTTCTTCCACCTCCTAGCCGCCGGCCAAGGTTCTCCCAAGCCTTTGTCGCCGGCCACTCAACTTCCCGCCACCACCACAGCATAAACCCCCTCCCACTACCCAAACCACCGGCCAACTTCATCCCATCACCACCCCACCGAAATCCCCCTTCAAGCCCACCAAACCGCCGGCCCCTCTTCTCTCCTCCTCCCTCCAAAATTCAAATCACATCTTGAATCCTTTCCATAAAAATCTATTCTAAATTTGGGAATATTTAATTTCAAATTTCAAAGCAATTTGAATTTGAAAATTTCTTTCCTAATTTAAGAAATCTATTTTAGGAAAGTTTCTAAATTAAAGCCAATTTGAATTTCAAATTCATTTGGATTTAATTAAAACATTTCCTAATTCCTAAAACCAGATTAAGAAACCTTTAATCCCTCTCATCAATCCCCTCCAATTCCATCAATGCCACCGGCCCCTCTAGGATTGGATTAGGAATTCTTTCCCAAAACCCAATTCCCCACTTTGGAAACAATTCCAAACTTCTCTCCCTCTCTTGGCCGAAAATCCCAAGGGCCCACCCACTTAATCCCTTTCCAAAATTAAGCTTCCCCCTCTTGGAATTAAATCCCCAAATTTTGTACTACTTTTCCATGCCCACTCTCTCTTACTCCATATTCTATTTAAATTATTTCCAAACCTAGAGAATTGATTTGGAAATTAATTTCAGCTTTCCCTCCATAATCCTCTTCTCAAAATCTGAAATCAATCCTCCCCTAGTTTTCCCCCTTGGCCGGTCACCCTCTCTTGCCACTTCCTACTTGGATTCTTGAAGGAACCTCTCTCTCTTTCAAGGGGAAACGACAAGGACAACAAAGGATCATTACCTTCAACACTTCAACGCTTGGGAGAGACTTTTTCCTCTCCAGTTGAACCTTCAATGAATGCTAAGACGAACTTCTTCAACATCTCGCCTACTCATTTCTGGGTTTTGACAAAGGTGAACTT